TATACCGTATATCTGTGTTGTTCCTACTCTTTCTCCTCTTCCTACGTATTTCTTCATATCCGTACCTCCTCCACCCACTCCTATGTTTTCCGTGGATCAGAACTGAACGAACTACGCTCAGCCCATGCGGCGGTACAAGTTGAAGACGAGGAATCGGTCGAGTCATATCATCAAATTCGGCTGTGTTTGGACGATTTAGTGGCTCAGCAATGGCAGTACATACGACGACCGCAATATATTGTGCCTTTCCTCCAACCGGGTCGTTTAATCAAGGTATGCAACGCGTTTCAGTTGTTCACATTCCTCACTCCACTGTTATTTGTTCGACTTTTCATCCTGATCCGGATCGAACTACTCTGCGATTTTCTTCTATCAATTTCATGTTTCGTGGATTGCAGACACTTCTAAATTGCAGCCTTATTCTGGTCGCTGTTTGTAGCAGTTTCTCTATAGAAAAAACGTCAAAGCACCGGAGAATCCTGTTCACAAATTTTCCCGCGGGCTGATTGAGCACATACACGGGACGACTGTTTCACACTTGTTGGCACTCATCAGCGGCGCTTCGTTAGGCGTATTCTGGTAGTTACCACGACACCTATGTATTTGCTCACATAACTTGTTCAACACCAAAACAGGTACATACTACTCGCTTTTCCTAGCTCCTCTGTCCTATCTCGTGTCTTCGTTTGTCCGCGTCCAGTTCTCATCTTGCTGTTACACACACAATCGCCTTTTTTATTACACATTTTTTGTGGTGAACAACAGACGGGGCGAACGCCATAGTCACGAAGACCCGCCGCTCCATCATGGAAATCGGTAACCTAACCCCAGGTGAACCGCATAAGGCCCCGCTGGGTTAGGCGTGGTATTGAACCGGATGACAACAGAGCTGCCTACCACCGAAGTCGGGTGGCGGTGGCGGGGCTCGAACCTCGTGCCATAGGGTCTAAAGCACTCCAGTGGCAGCGACTAAACCACTGCACCACCACGACCTGATAATACTAAGAGATTGCTGCAATTTTACCAGTACAAACTGCGTGAAATTCGTGATCCTCGAAAGAGAATTTCTATTGATGTGCGAACTAAAGGTTCGTATTCGAAACAATGATAAGACGGAGTGGATAATCGAGGTACACCACGAACAATCATGGGGCAACAGCGGTATGGATTCGTCACCTGGGGGGAGCATAGTGGATTAGTTTCGCACAGATTGCGACAAGTTTGCGGGATATGTTTGATGTCAACAGAGGTGAGGACCCCTGGAATGAATAACGCACTGCAACACACACAACATTGCCAGGGATAAGCATCGGTCAAGTCTACAAGCGTTGGACCAACTGAGATAGGTTACACAGAAAAATTAACGATACTTCTTCGTCGCTTGTGCTTCACTAATCGTCCTCACGAAGAAGCATGTGGCCTTGATGTCTGTCCTTAGTTCACAAGTACCGTTGATCAGTTCAAGTCTTTCGTGCTCTGTCTCTCTCTCTCGCTCTAGGTGTTTATTTTCGTCGCCGAAAATTGTTTATTTCAATGATCATCCAGACTATTTCTGATCAGGCTCCTGATGGCTATCGTACGCGCCCGTTGGCCTCACCACACACGCTACAACGGAAATGCGACCAAAAGTTTCACAGTTTGCACGGCTTGATGCGATCACTTGGGAATGGAATCTATTCGGTTCGATGAAGTCAAGCCTGTCCGGTATTTCTGAACAATCGCAACTATTAAAAGCAACTGTCGTTAGACTCAAAGGTCGGTTATTCAGTAAGACACGTAGGACACTTCATCCAAACCAGATAAGCGAACCGTGCATGGGGCAATATCGGGCAGTGTCAGTTCACAGTTCAAAGCAGTACAGCTTCAGCTGTCTTTAACCAACCAGACTATCCATAACCGGTTACATCACACTTGTTGATTGACCTATCAAAAACCATCAGGTGCCTGGATTAGGCGTTACGTCACGTGTCGTGTGATTATGAACAAGAAGAACAAAGACGAATGCGTGAATAAAGTGTTGATATAGCTACCAGAATGTGTTCAATACACACAGAGTCATGAGAACACCAGGCAATATTTTTCACACAATTTCAGTCCAACAGGCACGTGCACAGAAACTGCACTCGTGTGTATTTGATCCCGCTGCTTTCCAGGTGGGAACAGTTCGTCCGCGCATGCCTTTTATGTCAGGAATGTGAATGGATGCTTTTTCATCGGATTAGGTCTTCGAAGCGGTTAGCCTTTAGCGTTTTGTATGCACATTAATAGTTATATGTACAGGTGTTGACCAAACTCATGCAACATCACCCTCATTTTGAAAATTCATTTCAGCTTGCAATATCATAGTTATATATAGATGGCTATGAGTAAAGTGTATTTCTGACTGTATCTCCAACATCTATGTTCTTAGTTCTATTCTGTCACCATTTGGATGTGCGTGACCTTGAGTGTCACTATAAAATTTGCAGTAGTTCGAAAGTTACAGCTCTGATTTAGAAAATATTTTGGGTAAAGCAGCATGGGTGATCATTCTTTTCAATAGATGACTTCTGTTCCATGAGAGTTTCTATTAGGTTGATCACGCGTTTTCGAAATTTCTATTCTCTTTTATCCAGTAAAGTAAATTATTGGAAATATTCTAACTTAAATAAATTGTTAAATTATTAGGCTACGAACTACTCACGCATTATCTCCAATACGGGAAAAACTGAAAACAGTCTAAGAAACACAAGTTGATCTTCAAAAGTTGACCTTGAGGTGTGCAGCTCGTCCTGTGGGGTCACCATGCCCAAACCGGATGAAACTTTCAAAGGGTTTTAGCATATAATTATCGCCTAGAGGCAACTTAAACGAGAGGCGCATAAATCTGTTGGCTTAGTTGATATCTTGTGGAAGCGCTTCGATTTGAACATAAGTCCAATTTGTTGCATATTCAACGAAGTTTCTTCATCAAGACGTGAACGAAGAGGGAGCAAACCGGCCATGGCAAAGTGAGATGACGGTTGTATTTGATATCAGCAGAGAAGAGTTGCACAAAATTAATCTGGAGGATAGTCCGGGCTGATTAGACACTTTTCCCCACGCTTTCGTTTAGAAAATGATGGCTCAATTTGAAATGCAGCTGAGGCCAGTGGCTGTTGTAGACTGGAGAAAGCCACGTGGAGGCCAGCAGCTGACATGGAGACGAGGTATGAAGAAATCCACAGAGAGATTAGGTAGAGTAGGTTCTCTCGTCTTCCGGGAAGGAGTTCAAAAGACTCCGAAATCACATGGTTGGAGACACTGAAGGTCATGGCTGCGAAACGACAGCAATGGCGATCATTCCAGAGTACTTGAAATGGTATTTATGCACAGTTAGATTGTGCACTCTGTGTGTTGACCACAGAGGTTCGCTTTCTTTTCCCGTCCGTAAAAGTAAGTCCAATCCCTATCCTCCTTACACATTCTTACTTACCTTGTATGAATTATGAGTTTGGCAACGATCAGGGACTGTACAATGATGATGATGCTCATGAAAAGTATCGTGTCCGCGCGATGAAAAGTTGCGTTGGAACAACAAACACTCCAACTAGCTAGATCATGCAGTTTTAAACCACAGGGGATTAATCTTCCTTATGATACACTTGACCGAGTATCGGCTTTCATCAAAATTGCTGGTTTGTTTGTTCTAGTGTTCAGCCGCTTGCTTTCCGGGAACCAAATGCTACCAGATCGAATTGACTCCAAGGCAGTGTCCCTTTGGACAAGACTATCCATAGGTGATGGATAGAGACAGGCTCACAAATGGTACTTGATTCGCTGAGGAGATGTCGAAAAATGGTGTTGCAAGATCCCAGTTGTTTTCAGATATGCATTGTTCACCCATGTAATCTAAGGAGCGTAACTGGGCTTGCATCCCACTCAAGCAGGGTAAGCTTAAACTGGTCGTAAAGTAAAATTATTTCTGCACCTGAGAATGGACTGTTTAGTTTCCTAACTTCAACTCCTGTCACACATCTCGATCAGTCACTTTTTTCGTTCGTCCCGAACTCATCGCGATGAAAAAATGTCACAGGTAAGGTACAAGATATAGATGATTAAAAAAATGACTTGATACGATATAAACATATTTATTTGCTCATTTCTTTGGGACAAATACCATCAAAATCATGTTCATACCTTAGTTTCAGTGGGGTCGATAGTTGTACCATCCTTCTGACCATCGAATTCAATTTGTGTGAATCAGTACGCTTCATTTCAGATTCAACCACGAAACCAGAGCACCCAACACTTGCGACGGTTAACCGTACATGTTCTATCGATATGCACGTAAAATACAGCCAACTTTGTGTGTTTCTAGGGGAGAGAGAGGCAAATTTGCATTTTTTGACGTCAGATCCAATCGGTTTCTAACCGTTCGCTCAGCCAATCGATCTCCATGTCCGTTTGTATCACCTGATTTTTGCACGGTGTGCTCGTATGCTCGCCTCCTGGTGAGTAAGCTCATTGATTTAAATTTGACCGCTCAAAATGTGCTGTTAAACGCTAGAACGCTAAAAGGGAATATCGACTCCTCGTAAAATGTGAGCAAGTTCTATTTTTCATAAATACCCTTTGGAGTTTCTCGACTTATCCTGATGCCTATACCTCACATCTTTCTTCCAAATTTTTGCGGAAATCCTTTGTGCGCTCCATCTTTCACGAACTGGTTAATCTTTGTCTACAGGAGAACGAGGTGTCGACCTGAGGTTATTCGCATTATCTAACCTGTCCCAACACAGACGTGGAACTAGATCTCAAACCTATCTAGGTATCTTGGCTATAAGAATTAGAATTCCACCCGGGCTCTTTTTTGTATGATAACCGGGCTTGTCACCAATAGAACCTTTGACGCTCCTTATCATCGTGGCAACAAACCGTCTTGTGAATATGAGGGTTTAATGTACCCAATCCACTTTTGAACAGTGCTGGATGTGTGTGTGCGTGTTGAAGCATGCAAACTGTCTACCGTGTGAAGTGGGGGGGGGGGCTGTTTCTAATGCCAATGGGCACAACAGGAGAAGATAAAGCGCCAACTACACCTTTTCCCATCAAGCTTCAGCAAAAAACACATCCCTTTAGCCTCGACTCGCAATCCTTCAGCCACGATCCCTAGTACTTTTGCCTCGACGCACAAACTTGGGTCACGCCAAAGTAATCGAGTCAGATTCAAAAGTATCGGAATATTTTAAAGTCAACGGATGTTGAAAAAATGTCTACAAATATTGCTGCAAAGATTAGATAAGAACATGTAAGGTGAGGGGATCGCAAGCTGCACCACATGTTGACTAGAGAAGATTTAACCTATATGCATGTATCGTCAAATCATTTGATACACCTCGTACAGCTTCAGTGTTTCCGTATGACATGCGATGCTCCTATGAGTAAAAATCTTAAATGTGACATAATCTTTGCATTGTTTTGCCTTCACAAGCACTGAACTAAATCAAAAAGCGATACCACAAAAAGTAAATGTGTACCATTGTGAATATCCACTTCACGGTTTTATTTCTTTTGTCAAAAATTACTTCAGTGTCTTTAGACAGGTTGCAACAAAAGCTTTCGCTTGCTATCAGAATGGTTCTCGTGCAATATTACGTTTTGAATTTATGATCGAAAATGTCTTTACGAATACCTCGTTTTTCTTTGCCCGAATTTTTTTTCGTTCACTCAAGTGTTAACCAAAACAATCGACCTCTGAGGTAGAATAACTATTTTACACCTTAGTCGTGAGTAGTGTTTAGGCAAATGAAGTTCAAGCATGCCCCTTTTTCCCGACTTTTTTCACATTTTCTCCCAAGTTTTCTCTAAATCAACCATTATTACCCAGTGATTTTTCAAAATACCAGTTCTACTAGTTTTCCATAACAACTGACTAATGTTTCGCTTGTTACCGGACAGGCTTTGTCAGCTGTCAGCATTCGCTAAGAAGAGTAGCGATTTGGCAACTGATCACGCGGTTATACTCAGTAGACATTCGTCTAGTGAGAAGCTGTGAAAAGGGTCTTTTGTGCTATCAACCCCTCCACCTTTCGTTCGCTCTCAACACCTCGCTGTTCTCCTTGTACACAACATTCTAGGTCGTTGTCTGTTTTCATTTTAATCCTACCGTGGGGCGTTGACCAGAGACCAAAGATCCTTGACAATTCAGCTCCAATGCAGGAGAGACAGGCAATCAGTGCTATTTGCGGCTTGATTGCTACTCTTCCTAACTTGGTTATCTTGTCAAGATAGCACTCAGATATAATACAAAAAGTCGAATGCAATTGTTTTTGCCGCCTGTCCCAGCAGGTCAGCACCGAGACGCACAATTACGGTTGGGGTGCGGTGATCAATTTGAAGAAGCGCATGCGTACGGATCGTAGTTCAGCACCGGAATCGTTCTATCTGATCGACTGTTTGTTAAACAGTGTTCCGACCAAGTCAGAATCCACGGACGAGACGTCCGATGCNGCCGAGCTGAAAACCGGACTGGCTGAGGTGATCCCTATCCGACTGGATTGTGTGATCGGTATCAGCGCGGTTCGGCTGGTCGTGCCAAAGGATTTGCGAGCCCGAGAGGCAAGAGCTGGTGTGTTGAACGCGATTGAGAAAGTGAAAGCACGTATGGGCGGATTGCTTCCACCGCTCGATCCGGTGGATGATATGCATATCACAGATGCGAAGTTCATCGAAATAAATGGAGTAAGTTCACATCTGTTCTTTTTATGTTCATCAGGCCTTCCGGGACTCCGGCTTTCTCCCCCAAGTGGCTTCCAGTCTTACACATTCGTTTAGTAATTTGAACAACCGGTCCTCTCCAGGTTTGCATCCGTCTCTTTCCTCGTTTTTGTCCGGTAGTGTTCTTTTTGTACCAAATCGTAGGTTATTGAATACCTTTCTATCCTATCGCGAGACCTAGTGTCGTTTAGTTGGTCCGATTTCTGATCTAAAGCATTCGGTCAATACTGTACTGTACTGAGTGCAGTTTTCGTCAAGGTTCGAACTGACCCCAAAGTAGTCCATCCCGTTCTCCATGGACCCCGTAGCGTAAGACAGCAGTAATACCTGTGTACCCGTGGGATGGTAATAACAGCCTTCATTATCGCTGGACGAATACCTGCTTTTTGTTGCTGAAAAATTACTGATTTGGTGGAAACTCTTAGTTTTCAGATATCGTAACCAATCGATCAGCAGTCCATCTGTTCTCAGTTAACTACCCAAGCAATCGTCTGCTTATCAGTTACCTAAACATGCACCCTGACTGGTTGTTTACCCTTACTAGACCTCACTATTTCGGGTTTCCACTCCCTCACGACACCTCAAATTCCGCGCGTATTTATTATTATATTTCACACATGTTTGAGACCACACTGTTTACCAAACGAACAGTACATCAATCTTTATAAAACGGAAAAGCTCGGGGGTGCGTATTGCTAGGTTACCCAGGCCAAAGAACGTGAGTTTTGTTGGGGATTCACAATTAGCCAAAGGTTGACCCGCGAGGCAGCAGAGCGGTGTTTGAAAACCACAGTCCATTGGGAGCCGGTGTCCAGTTCATCAGAACATACGTCATATGTCCAAGGTACCCAACACACGTCGATGCCCAATTAAGCCGGCGACCTCTGCCACAACAAGCAAGATATGGGTGTGTATGGTTCGTACGCCTCTTGGTTGATTTGGAATCAGAGTTCTTAGCCAACTTCCCTAGATGAGTTGGCAGTGCTTCACCGACCCGGTTACAACCCTAAATTATGGCTTTTCGTCTTCTCACTTTGACAGGAAAACACTCACCACCACGGTAAGCCAGTTAGTAGGGCTTCCTCAGCAAAAAATGTTCGAAGCGCCTAATCGTGTGGGAGCGTTTCGTGAGGTGCAAGGGAAGGGTGACCAGTCACAACCCAAGTCACCCACCCCGAGTTTACTGACGCTTTCTGAGGCAGTTTTGCGCGTGGAAGATCGTCACTGGTTACGTAGCTTGTTTCATGTCTGAGTGAGCGAGCGGGTAAACAACACCTACATAAACCGTCCAGAATTTGGGGATGAATCAGTGAAGATGGCGCTTTCATATTGAATTTATATCAGTGAACTTCTCTGGTCAGATCACGTATTGCGCATACCCGGCAGTCGTCTGCCGCACCGCACCTTATCTACTATTACTGCACCAGGTTAGAAGAAATCCTGTTTAGGTCGACAGATGACGTGGAGAAGAGTCATGAATGAATTCACACCGCAATTGAGTAGAGCAGGCATCTCATATCCCGCAGGCCGGGGTCCAGAAGATCATATAACTGGTTGGTTATATGTCGGCCAACCGATAGCTGTGACATTCGTCTTGTCACTTTTTATCAGGTCAGGTGTTCACGCACAATTTGCCTGTGTACTCTGAGTGTTGACACCATAGAATTTCACTGCCCGATAAATAGTGACGACGAGGTTTGCCGAGTTGACCATTAGGAATGGGTAGGGAAAACTGATGCGCAAATAAGTGCAAGGCTCACGGTAATAAGGCTTGGATAAGCAGAGCTGTATGCTACCGAGCGCGTCCCCAGGTCGTGGATAGGGGAGCGGCCGTCATCTCACGGATAACCGTGAATAAGGTGGGCTTCGGTCCTCCGTATAAGCGGTCGCGGACGATCAGCGGTAGCATCCGAGGATGTGGTGGATTTACCTCCTGGCAAGAGTACTCCGCACAAAACACCTCAAATATCTGTGGACAGCGCTGTGACGTGGTGAGTGTAGCCCACCACTAAGTATGGCCATCGCCCCTTGCCGAAATCTATTGTTCAGCAAGGTTTTTCAAAAGAGGCGAATGAACCAAATACTGGCCACCGGCTCATCTGGAACATCGCTGCTGTCTTGTAGTCCGCGCTTGGTATCGCAAAGGTTAGAGTGAACCCTCGAACAAGGCCTACTCTGGACTGGGCGACGGAGTAGTGCAACAGCCCACAACGCCTACAACGATGAATTCCTCGACGCTTACGTGTCTTCAGTCTGCATTTGCTGCATCCAGTGATGAACACTCCACCGTACACACTCGTGCCCCTCAGCCCTCCCCCACCTCACCCTCATCGTTTTAGCCCACCCCCTCTCTCGGATTCTTCAGACGAT